CCCCAAAACCCCAAAACCCCAAAACCCCAAAACCCCTTCCAAAAATAAAATATTTGAACTATAAATTTAGATGATGGAAGACACTGAGATCTATAATGAACTTAATAATTATGATAGTGGCAAACAGAATGAGTATGTGGGGGGAGGGATGGGGGTTGGTGATGGCTTTGAAGGTGTTTGCGGGGGTGATTGTGCTTGTACGGAGGGTTTGAAGATGGCTCTCTCTCTTGTTTGAAATTTAGTGCCAATTTGTAAAATATAGTATTGGGATTATAATTTTTTATAGCTTTCTTCAACCTAAAATTTCTCCTTATGAAGAACACTGGGGAACGCTGCTAAACTTCTTGGATGATTCCAATATTGATGAAGCAACTCTTTCTAAAATGACTGAAACAGAAGAAGAAATTGTTTGATTATTATGTAATCTTTAGAGTTTGAATCAGGATATTCAGGAAGAAGTTATTGAGACCAAACCCAGAAATATGGCAGAGGTTTACAAACAGAATAGCAAGAAATTAGTTGAAGACAGACAAGACGATAATGAGGAAGATTATGTATACCAGTCTAAGAAAAAGGCAGTTGTCATGATTCGAAATAAAACAAGCTCTCAGATGAAAGAAGATCCAATGAACTTGTCGGTAAATAACCCAACTGCAGCTCAAAGTTATTCTAAGAACGATTATACCGCCGATAGTAGAGGAGGAATTGGAGGAACTCCAGCTCCAACTTCTGTCAAGATCGGAGTTTCAAATTTATCCTCTAACTATAAGAAATCCACCTTTTCGAGGAAGAAAATTACAGGGAATGGAGGAGGTTTAAGTGTTTACAAGCAGAAAGCCAAAAAGGAGCCGACCAATAACTTTATGATGAGTGATAAGGCTATTAAAGAAAATCATTTGCTCAGATCAATGAAGAAGCTTAAGCAGCAAGACGACAAAACAGCTGCCAACAGAGTTGGAGTAGGAGGTGGGAAAAATGAGAATTTTAACAGAATGACAACTCAACTAAGCACAGTTAGAAGGAGATATGGAGTCCGGACTAAAGAGACCAGGCCAAACACAAGAGAGCAGAAAATGCTAGATCAAATGTATCAAAGACAAGGGGATGATGAAATGCCTGGAGATTTAAAATCCCAGTTTGGAGGTATTCCTCCATCCCAACTTCTTGCTATGAAGAAAGGAGAACAATGGATGAGAAAGAGAAATATGCTCCTCAAAACAGAAGTTAATAGAAAGCATATCGAATTTGCTAAAAATCTATTCTTGAGTTGGGATGATTCAGGAAACGGGGAGTTAAATCCTGATGAAATCAAAAAGCCCTTTATCTCAATGGGGCTCTCAGCTGATTCAAAATTTGCTTCAAAACTCTTTGAAGCATTAGCTTCTGGGAACAAAAGGAAAAAGAAGGCAGATCTGAAGCTGACTCTTCAAGACTTCATCAAAATTTTCAAATCGGATAAATTTAGCGAACAGATCTCACAGATGATTAGGAAGGAAATAGACAATGGAAATAATGCTAAAATAAATTTATCGCATACAAAGCCATTTATGGAACAGCATTTAGACCCAAATTCATCAAAGAGGAGCAAAAAGAATGTGACTATCTCGATGAAGAATGAAAATGGAATTGTAGAAATCCCTCTTGATCCTAGTATGAAAGGGCAGTTTAACGTCTACAAAAGAGAATCTACAGAAAACGGTCATGTCAGTAGCAAGAAAATCATCAAGATTGATGAGAAGCGAGACACTCTCATTGAAGAAAATATTAAGGAAAGGGCTGATGACCAGAGTAAGACTTTTTAATTTACATATAGGATCATTCGATGCCAAGGAGAATATCAACGATACAAGCCAAAGTCAATTTCTTCCTAATGATAGAGAAATTATGGAGCAGTTTAATAAAACTTCTTCACTTACTGACCAGATGAAGATTGTGAAAAAGTGGTGGAATGAAATGGGAGACTCTTCTTCTAATACAATGCATCTGAGACAAAATGACTATATTAGCAAACCTATCAAAGTTGTTGCTAGTTTCATGACTCAAAAAGGCATTACACCAGATATCGAGAAAGCTAAGAATGTAATCTATAAAGCACAACTAGGAAGAGATAAGAGACAAGTTGTCACTTTTGATGAGTTTAACAGAATTTTCTGTAAAGGAATCTTTAAAGATGCCCTGATTAATGTGGTTGAATCTATTGACAAAGACAATCAAATAAATAATGATAGCCTACCTCTGAGTGTCAAAATCAGCCAATACAAAAGAGGTCTCATGATAGATGGACTTATGAAAGAAAAGAGTAGATATGAAGATGGTAAAGCAATCCTTGAAGCCCTTAATGCTTTGAAAAGAGAAGAGGACCCTAACTACCATATGGACGAGATGCAACTCAGAGCTTTCATGGAAGATCCTTATGACAAAAGAGCAAGAGAAAGAGAAGCTTCTTTAAGACATGCTCAGTTCAATCCTTTCGTACGAACATTTGAAGATGATTATATCAACTCTATTAAAATTATTGACCCTCCTACAAATGATGAAACACAAAGAACTAATTTCAAAAACTGGAAGAATACAGGAGTAGATGAAGATGTGAACGAGACATTCTTCGAAGAAAAACAAAATTATTTATCTAAACTTAAGGAAGAAGAAGACCGTGAAAATAGGAGAAGAAAGGAAGCAGGATTTGCGGACCTGAAGAAAATTCAAAAGAGGCCAACTTTGATAGGAGTAGCAGATAAAATCGTCCATTCTTTACAAAACGATAAACCATACAGACCTCCTGCTGCTCTCAAACATGACCCAAATCCAAAGATTAGCGTCCCTAATCACTACTACTCCGCCGATAGACAGACACGACTCGGCGAACAGAGCGATCTCCTATCCCGCTTCCAAAAAGTAGTAATGCACGATCCCTACATAAACCATACCTCTGCCTAACTTTCAACCCTTATTCCAAACCCAGGGGTTTTGGGGTTTTGGGGTTTTGGGGTTTTGGGG